GGTGGTGGGGTGGCCGGGCGGTGTGGGGAGCCGTGCTGAGCCGCGCCTGCCGCCTCCGCCAGCGATCCGCTCCCGCACGCCGCTCCTTCGCGCCGCCGACTGAGGCGAGCCCACGCGCCCGGCAGCGTTTTATACTCCCCCCGCCCTGGCCAATCAGGGCGCCCCGCCGGCCGCTCCAACCGCCGGCTGGCCCCCGCGCGCCCGCGCCGGCCAATGGCGAGGCAGGGGAGAGAGTTCGAAAGCTCGCCCCGCGGAGAGGGCTCTTAAAGGGGCAACGCCAGAGGCCGGCTGCTTGGTGGGCCCCGCCGGGAAAGGGACAGCACCCCGAGGGGGGCTCGGCAGCACCCCAGGCTTTGCAGCACCGTGGGCCGGATCAGACCGACGGGCAGAAGTGAAATTTTGGTCAAAATTGAATTTTTTCGGGGGGGTGGAGGGAGGGGGGAAAGAAATAAAAAAAAAACCCAAACCAAACCAAGAGCAACCCTTGTTTTGGGCAGGTTTTCCCCAATTTCAATGCCGATCTCCACCATCTTGTCGTGTTAGGGAAGGAACTGGTGTTGGCTGGAGGGGGGAAGCACACCTTGGAGTACTTCAAAGAAAACCTGCCCCCATGTCCCACATCCCTGGCCAGCTGCCTGGTGGGGGGGGATCTTCCCTGGGGGTCCGGGAGCTCACAAGAAGCCCAGGACAAAAGGGGAAGATACACCAGCAGGGGTAGGAAGGGCTACAAGAGAGGGTGGGGGAGGACAACAGGCCACCAGCATGGCCAGCAGCGATGGGGACGGTGGCAGCCTTGGAGCACTTTCGTTTGGGAACTGAAAACCTCACTGTGCCGTATCTGTGAGACCTGGTGGCAGGGCCAGCCCCCATGGCTAGGGGCTGCAGGGACAACCTGCCACCTCCAGCCCTAGGTCTAGGCACCAGGGAAGCCTCCGAGAAAGCTTCCACACCAGCCCTGCTCTGGGTAAGCTGGGGGGGAGGCGTTTAGGGGCTCGGAGCCGGGACTGTCCTTCTTCCACCCTCCGCGAAGAGGCAAGAAGTGAAAGGGCCCAAAATTGAGGAAGTTCAACGTGTTGTGCCAGAGTATTGGTTTCCATTCCAGCTGACACACAAACAATAACTTGCTTCTGGGCCCTTTTCTCCAAGGGCTTCATCTGCAGACCTTCCCAAAGGAGAGCTGTCGTGATGCTGTATTGGCAGGAACTGCCACTACATCCTGGCCTGCTGGAAGGACAAGGGGGTGGTCGGTCACAACAGTCACAAAAAAGCTCCAGGTGAAGATTCAGCCACATCAAGACATAGTTGACACAGCAGGAGCCTTCCACACACATGCCAAAAAAAAAACCCAACCCTACACTCAGACCAAACGCATGTTTTCCTCCCGTTTGAGTGCAAAACCTCAAACGCTGCTCTCTGGATGTCGGACACAACATCATGTCAACCTGGGGGAGTTGACATCTCGAAAATGTCTACCTCCTCTTGCCCAAACCTCCCATGCTCCATCTGAAATGACTAATCCTTCGGTTGCATAGCCACACCACCAGCCCAAAGAGCTGGTCCCAGCTTTCCCCCCTGCCTGCTCCAGGGAGAACCTCTCCCGGCTGCCGAGAGCGGGGCTGTCCCCCCCTCACCCCACACCCGGCGTGGGAGACCCAGCAGTGGGAACCCAGGGTTTCCAGACCCGCCAAACCTGCTCCCCGTGTGCCTCAGAGGGCCGGTAACACCCTGGCCTAAGCCCTGGGGTCAGTCTAACCAGCCGGGGCAGGTCTGGGCTGGGAGGTTTGGGACTGCAAGTCACACCTCCTGGCCCGCAGCCGGTATGTCTGCCCGCCGCCGGTGCCACCCCCCTCCACGGCAGGGCATCGGCTGTACCCCTGGCAAAACGGGCTGTGTGTCACCCAGTGTGTTGCTCTGGGACTGCTGTTTGCAGGATCCGGGCACCTGCATCCTCAGCAGAGATGACCCCACGGTTAGAAGGATCAAGCCAGGTTTGATGCGTGTCTAGCTGGGTACGTTCCCCACTCGGATGTGGACGAAGAGCCACGGTGCAAAAAAACCACCTCACCGGCCGGCAAAGTTGCACACGGGTGGAGGAGACACAGCAGGAGAAGCTCTGCTGAGTGAAGATGCCTGGATGTGAGTGGACCGACCTGTTCTGCCGCTCACCACCTCACCCCGATGGCATGAGGCACCACTTCTCTCCGGTCACCGTGTTTTGGCTACCTACCCCGCCGAGGGCTGGCAGCCTCACCCCTCCCTGACCGAGGATAAGCACGATGGGGACGGGTATCGAGTGTTCCCCCATCCCTATCAGCGCTCAGAGAGGGGACTTTGAAAGCAGAAGAGGTGCATGCTACCAGGGGACAGACCTGGGAACCGCTACCACCCACCAACACCGTGCCCCGCTGTCATAGAATCATAGAATTATAAAATCATAGAATCATAGAATGGTTAGAGTTGGAAGGGATCTTAAAGATTATCGAGTTCCAACCCCCTGCCATGGGCAGGGACACCTCCCACCAGACCACATTGCTCAAAGCCCCATCCAGCCTGGCCTTGAACACCTCCAGGGATGGGGCATCCACAACTTCTCTGGGCAACCTGTTCCAGTGCCTCACCACCCTCACACTAAAGAATTTCTTCCTAATATCTCATCTAAATCTCCCCTCTTTCAATTTAAAACCATTACCCCTTGTCCTGTCACTACACTCCCTGACAAAGAGTCCCTCTCCAGCTCTCCCTTCAAATATCTAAATCTCCCCTCTTTCAATTTAAAACCATTACCCCTTGTCCTGTCACTACACTCCCTGACAAAGAGTCCCTCTCCAGCTCTCCTGCAGGCTCCCTTCAAATATTGGAAGGCTGCTATGAGTTCTCCCCAGAGCCTTCTCTTCTCCAGGCTGAACAACCCCAGCTCTCTCAGCCTGTCTTCTTAGGGGAGGTCAGGCATAACCATCGGCACACGATGTTATTCCCAGGGCACCAAATCCCAGCCTGGGCATCTGCCCTGCCCTTCGTGCTCTTTGGGGTGGTGGGTTTGCTTTCCCAAGGGGGAATTGGTGGGAGGTGTGGGGGGGGATGCCGTGCAGGAGGAGAAGACCCTCAGCGGCGCAGGCAGCCGGTTTAAGCCAGGCAGTATTTTGGTGGCAGCCCTGCCTTTCCCTCCCAGGCTGATGTCATGCTTTAGTAAGTTTGAGGCAGAGTCACATGGCAGCTTCTGAGGTCAGCGCCTGGGGTGGCTTTGTTGTCTGCCTGCCTGCCTGCCTGCCTGCCTGCTTGCCCTGGCCTCCTGCCTGCACCCAGAGCCAGCCGACCCTCCTGGGGTTCCCCTCCGAGCAGGGCACCTCCATCATACCCAGGGCTGGGCATCATCTGCATCATACCCAGGTCTGGCCACAGCATGGGAGACGTTGCCTTGGTGGGGGCCGGCATCATGGACAATCGGACGCACCTCCTGCCCCATCCCCTCTCCCCACAGAAAGGGCATTGCCATCCCACCCCTTGTTGGGGGGGGATCACGGAAGGGGGGGATACAGGAGAAGGAGGCGAGGAAAGGGTGTGACGGGTCACTCTAATCTCCGCATGTGATCTAACTGGGCTAGAAGGGGTTTGATGAACAATTAACAATCCTCCCGGCTCAGCTGCTGTTTCCCGAAATAGTTCTGGCAGCAGGAGGAGGAGGAGGAGGAGGGAGGGCGGGAGGACGGACGGACGGACAGACGGACGGGGCTGGCAGACAAAGGTGGCCTCTCCGCCAGCAAACTGCGGCCGGCAAGCCGGCGGAGGAGGCAGCCCTGGAGGCCGAGCAGCGGGGAGCCCCACGGCCCCACCTGGAAAGGAAAACAATGCGAGATAAAAGCAGCTCGGGGCAGGAAGCAGCTTGTGGTACAAATAATAATTGCAGAGGGCTGCGCACACCACTGGGGTTTTTTTTCGGGCGTTTAAATCCGCCTTCGACGGCGGGCGGAGGAGGTCGGCGCCGGGAAGCTCGTTGGGAATTCGTGCCACTGCCTCTTGGCCGGGAGCGGCGTGGGCTGCGTGCCGGCTGCCTGCAGCCCCCCAGCTACGGGTGGCAAAACCCTGCCTGGGGGTCCCTGCCGTCCCCCCCAACCTCCCCGCCTCCCCAGACAGCGGCGTGGCTGGGGGCCATACCGGCAGAAGCCATCTGGTGCGCAGCACAGCCGCCCCGACCTGCGGCGGTGGGGATGAGGATGTGGTTAGCAAGATCCTGTTTCGACAGCGGCGCCCTGTCCCACGTCCCCCACCCCCACCACCCCCAGCCCCTCGCTGTCACCAAATGTGCAGCCCGGGCCCCCAGGGGGAAGCCAGCTGTGGCAAAGAGGTGGGAAACCTTCCGGGTAGGATGGACGGTGAAATTAGGGTCCATCCATCACTTCTCTTGGCTGTCCCAGCACCACCGCAGTACATCATCCCTTCTCCCTCCCAGGATTCATGAGTTAAGACTGGGAAGAAGATGGGAATGAAACAGCCAGACCCCAATGAGAATGAAAAGCCTTCACCCCAACAGCTGCCTGCAGCAAAAGCAGAGCTCCAGGACAGCCAAAGTCCCACAGAGATCAAGCAGCATCCCCAGAGATTGCTGATGGAAGCGAAATGGGACAGGGAAGAACATTTCCAAACGTGGCTTCATCCACAGGCCCAGCCTGAGTTCATTTCTAGATGGGAATAACCCACATCTGAATTGAGAGGGACTCAAGCAGGGCTCAGGAGAAGGAGGCTTGTTTGGGGTTGTGTTTTGGGGTTTTTTCCTTCATAAAAATTGATGATTCGCATGGATGCGGTCTGGAATTGGTGCAATCGGGTAACTGTAAATAATCCCCCAGGGTTCCCAACTGCTCTGCTTTATCCA